GCGGCGGGGCGGGAGAGGGAGGGGGCACCATGACAGCGAGCAGGAACGTATGTACATGTATGCCCTCCGCCCTCCCGCGTGCACGAATGACCACGCTCAAATGCAGGCCAACGGACGCTGACCGCGTACGTGTACATCTGCTATAAGCCTCAAGCCATAGAGCGCATACAGTCGGAGAGAGGAGCGGTATGGGCGAGGAGGAAAGAGGCGAAGGCACGCCAGTCTCATGGATGACAGCGGTGTGGGGTCAGGTGGCGAAGCCTGTCTCATGACAAAAGCCTTCTCGGGCTCCGTCGCAACGTCGGGCCGCGGGCGCATACTTCTCGAAACCTCGCGGCAAATAACTTGTCTTCTGTGGCAGGGCTCCCAAGCATCGGGATGACGACAACTATCATGATGATGATGATGAGTATGTCACGGGAGGCCAAGACTGCTGGTGGTGGTAATGAGTGATGCCTTGACGGAGCACGCGCGATGCTTCAGCGAGCAACCGTGGCGGAGAGAGAACAATGACAGAGATGAGAACTAGAAACGCAAAACTCCAGCCCTTTAGGGCGAGGAGCCTGCAACAAAGAAGCGGAACACGCGCTCTGAAACTATATTCAATACCATTCGACTCTGTTCCTCCACTGGGATGGGCGGAGCTGTCTTGGGATGGTGCCTTTCTCAGATTGGGCACTCGCTGCGGCTGCAAAGTGAAATTCCACTAGCCCTCTGGGCGTGGGTGGTTTAAGGACTTCGGTGTTCCATCCCCTTGCGTTTCTTTCGGCGAGTGGTTCCCCACCGCTCCTTAACAGTGCCCTCCGCTCGAGGGACCGAAAACCAGAAACATGCCCCACCATCCCTGCTCAAAACCAATACATAGTACACGCGGCGCCGAAACTGGATCGTGGGCGGGACCTCCGCGATCACTTCACATCGGTCTCTGGTGCGGATGGTACGTCGGCACCTGGCGCACCAGGTGGCGCACCTAGCGCACCAGGTGGTCTCATGTGCGCGTTGGGCACCTGGCGCACCAGGTGGCGCACCTAGCGCACGTGGCGCATCTGGCACGTGTTGCGCACCTCGCGAGCGTCGCACGCTTGGCGTCTGTACTGGTCCCGAGTGCGAGCTCATCTGATGGCGACCTTTGCCTAGGCTGAATCTCGTGTGCTACTCGTACGGTGTATGGTAAGAAGGCGGGTGGGAATGAACGGGGCAACTTGTAGCGTTCCTGTTGGGAACTTGAGCGCTGCTTCTGATCAATGTACATCCTCCCACACTATACCGTGCCTACCCCGAGTCAATGCCAACCCTTCCCCCCAAACAAACCCCCACAAAGGAAAAAACATAAAGCGCACATTGCGGCAAACCCTGAATCATGTTTGGACGCCCTGCGAAGTTTTAGTATGTTTTCTTTGGTGGGAACGAAACAGGGTAGCAGATTGCCTCACATGCGCAAGCCAACCCTCCCTGAATTTGCCCTGTTATTGGGCCGGGATGGCAGGGGTGCCCTCGCACGCGCGGCGCACCTCGCGGGCCGGCATCTGCATTGGTTCCAGATGATTGCTGGAGGCGGCCCGTGCCTATGCTGAGACTCGGGTGCTGCTTATATGGTCGGCGGGCGAGTGGGAGTAAGTCCCTCCTTCTTCCCCCTCCCCCGGGTTTGCACGGAGGGGGGGTGCTAAAGGGTCCATCTTGGCCCAACGTGGCGCGAGATAATCCCAGGTGGCCTTCAAAATGGCACAATCTATTCCAGTATGGCTGGATACGGCATCCAGGGTACCCCAAGACGCCCCAATACCGCCCGAAAACAGCTACAAGTGGCCTCGGAGCCTCCCAACAGTATCCCAGAGAGGCCAACCTCATCCAACGACGAATGTTGTTTTACTGACGCTTGCCATCTCGCCTATTCACTGCCGATGGGACTCGGATGCCCAAGATGCTCCCGATGTCGCCCAAGAGAGCCCCACGAAGGGCCCCTATAGCCTATGGTGTCCAATGCGGCTCCAAGAACGCCCCAGTAACGACCCAGGTTGACAGATGTCATGAATTATGGCCATCAGAGAACTCGACATACGATACCTATGGCATTATGCGCAACGGCTTCTGTACCATACGCAGGGACTTTTGCATCAGACGCGAGCCCCCGATCCTAGAGGTGCTGCTCCCGCGACGTTCAGAGGCTGGTACTCGCTGGCTGGATAATGAGTAGCGGAACGAAAGAAAATTACCCACACCGTGCCATCTGCATCTTCATGTAAAACCGTGTGCGACTTATCCATTCCTTCTGCAGTGGGGGACTGAAAAAAAACCCGCCGACCGCGTCGGCGCTCTTGAAAACAAACATTCAAAGCTGGTCGTCCCAGGGCGGTCCTGAGAGAAACCGGTCTTTCGAAACTGTTCCTCCCTACCAACGAGGCCACCGTTGGCTCTCCAAGCACGCCCAACCACGAATGCATCCCCCTTCAGCTGCTCGATCCAGGCGAGCACGCGCTATGGACTCCCAAACGCAAGGGGCGGCGACAGAGGGCGCCTTTGGGAGCCTGTCAGCCCGATTGGGCCCTCCCTCCTCCTGGTTAGCTATCGCCCTGTCCTCCCGCCACCCCCACAAAGAGCGCCCGGCGACCGCGACCAGCACCGATGCAGAGCCTCGGGTGCGGAATGTTTTCTGGATGGCCCGCTGCAGGCGACGCCGCTGCGTCCTGGAGATCTTCAACCATGTGGGCTTGCCTTCACTCTCCGCAAGGGGGACCAGCTCGTGCAAGTACTATCGTTCACCCATTGTGTACACTTGTTTGTCATGGCTCGTGGGGATCGTGTCGACGACGGGTCCGAGCTCTTGGCGACGGCTGCTGCCGTCGGGGTGTGCCTTGTCGCCGCGGGGCTCTTCGCGGAGCAGGCGCTCAGTGGAACGCTCGCCCGGGGTGACGTAGTCGGTGCAGGCCGACCGGCCGTCCAACACGGTTTCCCTGGTCTTGAGGCTGCGTGGCTGCGGCATGCTCCCCGAGACAGGAAGCTTTGCCCGCGAACTCCAGGAGGGGTGCGGCTCGAATGAGACCAGCTTGAGCCAAAATGGCTATGGACGAGCCCGATCGATTTGTGATGGTCCTGGGGGTCGAAGCCACGCGCAAACGCGCGGAAATCAAAATTGCACCGCCCGGATCTCAAGCAAGACGCGCTGTGGCAGGAGCGGGCGCCTGTTCAAAATAACGAATGGAAGGTGCAACTGGCCTCCTCCTTGTGTCGGTGCCAGGCGACAGGGTGATGCTCTTCGCAGCCAGAGCCGCTGGGGCAGAGGTCAATGCTGCTGGAGAGGGCGTGCGGGATCAGCAAGGGCAACTGGCAAAACAAGGATAATGAGATGCGGCTCGCCCCTCTCCCGGTCCCCTCCTCCCCCCTCCCTCTGGACGGCCGGACCTCACGACACCTGAACGACGATCACAACGAGAGGACGCAGCAACCTTCCGCCGCGGCTCACGCGAGCGGCCAGTGTAGCACACCGCGTGGAGAAAGAGGCACTTACGCGCGGCCTTACGCCGGAAACTTACGAGCGAGTGTCCGCGCAGTGGAATCCTTTCTTCTGCGTCGCTCACCTGTGGTCTCTGGCTTCTCTGAAGAGGGCCAAGGCTGGCAGTGGGTGCTCGCACTCCTTGGCAGTTTGAGGACGCACGACAGCAGCTCGTGGCTGGACGTTGCCGCCCAACACGCGAATAGCGCGGCGGACGCACGCATGCAGGGACATATGGGGCCCGTTCATAACCTTTGACGCGCGAAGTGCATGAGGTGCAGAGCAGCCAGCGAATTGCGACTGCAAAGGCACAGCGGACCAGAGGATGGCAAACTGATCGATCTGGTGAGCATGGATGCCCGGTGGTGACACCACAGGGGACTTTGAGTGGGCTTTCGTGCAGGTGCTAATGCTGCTTCGGTCTCTCTAAAGGCAGACGTTTCTTCCAGGGACGCTGCCTAATATGGGGGCAAACAAGTGCGCAGCGGGCTGTTGTCATTATGCCAGGTGCTTCCGATACAGTGCCATAATGGAATGGCCCTGGCGAGCTTCCTGGACCGAACCCATTTGTGCAGTCGAATCGGTTGCTTGGGGGCTGAGGGAGCAGTACAACTAAAAGGACCGCTCGTGTAATCCAACGCAACCCGCGTTATTCTCGTTTGATCCCCTCGCCGACACAGCGACGAAGATGCGGCCGCGCCCCGTCTAGGAAAACAGCAAGAACAAATAACTACACCGCTACTCCCCAGAGCCCCCCCGGGCACGCTCCGACCAGGATTGCAAGGCTGACCCAACCGTGGCGACGAAGGCCTCCCCAGGGAGACCCGGCGGGGCGAACACGAGGGCAGGGTACCGGTGCTGGCGTGTGCGTCTCCCCTGTCTGTCTGTGAAGGTCGGGCCAGGCGCCGCCGGGGGGCTCCGCTTTTTTCCGGGCGCGCGACGAGCGGGCACGAGGCGCAGTCGCCGAGGCGCCCGACCGAGGCGCCCCCTCGCAGGGCGCCCCGGGACGCTGCGCGGCGCGCCGCCTGCCCCACATCGCCCTGCGATGCTCTGTGGGGGGTCTCAAAACGGTGCGGTGACAGACCGCGCGGTGACCTCGGACCCTCCAGCGACCTCACCGCACGGTTCGCCACCGCACGGTTTTGGGACCTCGCAGGCCCCAGTCGCCCGAGACGTCGGAGAAGGACCCGAGCGACCTGAGCCCCGAAACCGTGCGGTCACCCCGAATCCCCGCTGACTCATCACGCGGTGCCATCACAGCACCGTCTGGGGGGCCCCGACGCCTGGTTTCCGGGCCACACCTCGGGTCTCCCGCGGCCGTTCGGGACGATCCGGGCAGCCCCAGAACCCTCTCGGCGAGGCGCAGATGCTGGAAAGCACCCCGAGGCCGGAAACCCTCGGAGAGCCGTCGCGAACAATTGAGCCCCCGACGTAAGCTGGGCGGTCCCCGCGCGACAGCTGGGCGGGCGCCTCCGTCGCCGGGTGGCCCGCTCCCGGGCGGCGGGGGGTCTCAACAATCCGCGCCCTGCATCGCCGCCAGCGGCCCGCGCACGAGGTGGGCGTAGGCCTGCGGCGCCGCCACAAGCGCGGCTAGCCGGAACCACGGGCCGGCAGCGGCAGGCCAGCCCGCCAGGCCGGCGGCGGCGAGCCCCTCGAGGTTGGCGGTGAGGGCAAAATACCTCTAAGAACATGTTTTCGGGAGGGGGGTGGACGTGTTTAACCGGTCTTGGTTTCTCTGGAGGCCCCCCAGGGACCCATGGACCCCGAGATCTGGGCGTTGCACTTGTGTCACAAAGGTAGTCTTCGCCCAGTTTCGGGCCCCGTGGCCCTCACATATCGATGTGGCTCGCAAAATGATCCAGAAAGATGGGGTCCAGCGATGTACCGCGATGATGTCCACGTGTGGCGACGTCAGATCTCAGGGGAGGCCTCCGGAGACTCGGGGATGGGGGGTACACGGCCAGCTCCGCCATGCAGATGGTCGCGCCCAAGAAGTCGCCCATGACGCCGCCGAGGACCGAATTGCCATACATGCCAGCGGCGACGGTCACGCCGCAGCCCGCGGCAACCGCCCGCGCGGCGTGCCCCGGCGGCTGGAGCACGAAGGCGACCGCCGTGGCGGACACGACCGCGAACGCCGTCCGCGGGAGGCCGAGCAGCCTGCGCGACTCGGCGAACCTCAGGGGCAAGGTTAAATCGGATTGGAGGTTCGAGATTCGAGGTTTCGGACCTTTTCGTCGACTCTCGGTGGTCTTCTGGTCTCGGGGTACCTTCCAGCGGCTGCGCCTCGCCGAGGGCGTTTGGTGGGAATGGCCGATCGTCCCGAACGGCCGCCGCGGAGCCGAGTTATGACCCCGAAAGCAGGGGGCAACGTTAAGGGGGATACGCTCAGGTGGGGCGCATCGACTCCCAATCACCCACTGATCGCCGATAAGAGCCTGGCAGTCCACCCCGCCCAGGAAGGTGCGGATTCACTATAGGGGGCCTATGCCTGATACATCGGCGATGCATCGCCGATTTTAGGTGGATGCCCCCCCCCTGGCCATCGCTCGGGCGTCCATTCCCTGTGGTTTTTTCGGTCTCGTGCTTGGTTTTTTCGCCAAATGATCACGGATGCTCCTCGATGGCCCGCGCCGAGAAAAAATGCACACGTCCGAGCGGGCCCCCCCCCTCCCTGAGCTGGTGCCCCCCGAACCGTTGGCCCTCAGGACCAGTTGTAGTACTCGCCCTTGGCATCCTCGTCGTCGACGACGTACTCGCAGCAGTAGATCAGCGGGGCCGCCGTCGCGCGAGCGACGCAGTTCGCCACCAGCAACGCAGGGCCGGCACCTGTGCTGCCCGCAAGGGCCCAGTGTGACGGCCCGAGGTAGCCGAGAAGGATCACCTTGGCGAGGGCCCACAGGGAGCCGGCCATCACCGCGTACGAGCCGCACCGCGAGTCCTTCATGATCCGCAAGATCTGGGACTTCGTCCAGCCGCCTCCAAACGCGTCGATAGTGTCGCAGAGGCCGTCTTCGTGGAAGCAGCCGGTCAGCCACAGCGTCGCGGCGCTGGTGGATGCTGCTGCGGCCAGCGGCGGCCAGAGGAGCGCCAGGGCGTCGAACCAGACCGACGCCCAGAGGCCGACGATGCACCCCAGCACGGGGAACCATGCCATCCCACGCATCAGATAGCCTGGGTGATGGTCGCACCAGCCTGGTAGGAGGAACAACTGCACAAACGCAAACTGTTGAAGTTTCGCGCGGATTTCTTGGATCTGCGCTGGGCCCCCCTGGCGGCGCCCCTGCGCCGCCCCTGGCGTGCTCCGCGCGCCAGGGAGGAGCGTCAAGCGTCGATCCAAGAAATCCGCACGCATCCCTGAAAGTTTACGTTTATGCGTGTGTTCTCCTTCGACCTGGGCATGGCAGGCGGGTGACGAACATCAGCCCCGTGAAGAAGCAACGGACCTCGTTGTTCGGCCTCGCCTCGAACTCCTCCAGCGGTGTGCGGGCCGCGGAGCCGGTGCCGCGGGCCGCCACCTCTGCTGACGAGACCATGCCGGCGCCGAAGCCATCCGCGGTCGCGACTCGAGTGGACGCCACCGGGGCTGGGGAGCTCACCCTCGTCCCAGGGCTCGACCCAAGCCATGCTTTGGCGACTTCGCGGGCCGCTCTCGTGCTGCCATCGCCTCGCAGCAGGATCGGAAGGAAGATAAAACGAGGGAAAACGACCAGAAAACCAAAGACTCTCCTGAGCCCAGGGCGGCACCTCTTTCAGCATGCTGGCCGCGCCAAAAGCAAGACAGGCCACGGTGGAGCTTGAGGGCGCGGCGCGTGGCCAAAGGATGAAGAGCAACGCCTGCGGACGGGGCGATGCTTCGCCAGTGCGCAGCACTCCGACACCGCGCGTGCACGAACACATAACGAACACGAGAGGCACGGTTTAGGTCGAGCCCTGCCTCGTCCCGGTGCGCACGGCGGGAACGCCTTGGGTCTCCGCCGCCTCGCGGAGACCCGCCGCCGTGGGGCCGCCCAGGGCGTTGTTCGGCGCCATGGCATCGGCTTTCTCGCCCTGCGACGCCAAGGAGCTCAGCGTGCCGCCTCAGGCCAAGATGACTAGAAACAGCTCTTGCTCAATTGACCTGATGGGACCATCTGGCTGGAGTGACGATACCTCCCGACTCTTTCGACGTAGGTGTCTCGGCGTTCCCCTCTGAAGCCCTGGCATCACCCTATGCCTGTGTCCTACACGAAAAAGCTACGCCATTTCTGGGCACTTGGAGGCGGCGTTTGCGCCCTGGCCTTCGCCCTGGACCTTCTCGGGAATCTCAACTCTGAGCATATCCATGTTTCAGGCAAGCTTCGGAGTCTGTCTCCCCAGCTCTTCCTTTTCCCAATTGTACGCTCGGCTGCCCCTTCTGGTTTGCCCCGTTGTGGGTGTCATGTGTCATTGCACTGCCGGCCGCTTTGCACATTGCACCCGCACCGCTGTGGCTCGCTTAATTTAGCCGATCGCGTCACAAGTTTTTGTCCTGGAATATGGACATGTTGACTATCTCATGAGAAGCTAGCGTATCACTGCAGGAGAAAAAAGTGCTGGATAGGCGAAACATTTTCTCGTGGCAAAACATGTGCAATGTCCTCTGCCTGTCTAGTGGGCAAGGAGCGACCACCTCTACCAACGACCCCAACAGGCCCAAAATGATTCGTGTCTCGTCATGGCTTGCAATCCTCGTCGTGCAACTACATACGTTGTGGGCTGGCGCGAGGCTGGCTCAAACAGAGCTGTGAACCGTAAGACGTACCTTCTCCCCTGGAACCGAAGAAAACCGACTGGTCACATCTTCGCGACTCGTTCTGGCCACGGCTGCATGTTCACGCCCATCAGCTCACAACCATCTTGAAAGTGGTAACCTCGTGATGAAAAAAACTTCGATGTTGGCGTGCGGCTGGCCACTGCGGAGCCTAGATATGTTCGTGGTATTCGCTGGCCCCCTCAAGGGACAACTTCCGAACCCCAACCTCCAGATCAATGCCACTTACCTGCCGCAACTTCCGAACGGCGGCCGCGCAGCTTCACTGAAGACATGGACACACACATTTTCGAGCCAGAGCATGTCCACCTGAAATTCTGCCCCTTGCCACATGACTGTAGACACGATTGGGGGGGGGGGGGAGGGGCACCTCCTGGGAGGGCAATTTGCAGTGTGCTCTGCGGCCAGGGATGTATCGCCGACTTGAGCAGCTCCTGTCCACGAGCCGCCCGTTGGAGCACGACTCAAGCTCGTGGAGCGCTTCTGAGACGGCCCGAAGCTAAAACCAATAAAACAACGACGGTTCTCACTCATCTCGGGAGGCACCACCGTGATGACTTGGACGATGCCCAACAACAAGCCCACAACCGACAGCGGCCGCTCTTTGGCAGGCGGCGCTCTGTTTCAAACGGGCAACGACCCCGGCGACGCCGACAGCGAACCCTAATCAAAGTGAGCAGAAAAGCTGTTTATCGTCGTACCCGTTCTTTCCGTACACATGTCGATCGTACCGAGGTGACGCACAGTCGCCACTATTCTGTAGAACCGGTGCCCCAACCTGAGGGTGGCCCACAGAAGCCCCATCGGTTCCTAGAGTGCCGCTGTTTTGAAGCTGCCCTTGCTGCGCTTTGGCTGCCGGAGCGGTCCTCGACTCTGCAACGGGGGCGAGGAAAGCAGCGACTCAGTGGCCTCACTTCACGCATCGCACCCCGCGGTGCGCGGTTACCTTCGCAACCTCGCGCCGCCCGTCCTTGAGAAAGGCAACCGCTCCGACCAAGACCGCGACGCGCGAAACGCTATTATATCATCTTCGCACCTACAGCTGAAACATAACCAGACATAAGTGGATCAAGAACGTGAGCCCCTTCGCTGAAGGCACAAGGCCCCATGGAGATACCTAGAATGAGCAGCATTCCAATATGGGGACGCCCCACCGCGAAGAGCAGAAGGGTACCTCTCCAAAACTAGGCTTGATCGTAACACTCGTGACATCTGTGGAGCAACACGGTGACAGAACAGTCTGCTCACGAGCCGTCCCCTCCACGGCAGAGCAAAGGGCCTCCAGCGGAGTGGGTGGACCCACCAGCGGAGCGGCGCCCCACGCGGTGGCGACCCGGCGGGCCTGGGGCTGGCGCCGGAAGGCCCCCCGCAGAAACGCGGCCAGTGCCGCGCAGGCTAGACGACTTGCAAGTAGCTCGGGTAATGGCGTTCCACAAGGTTCCGTCCCTGCGCCTGAGGCCCGCTCGGGCCCCGCACGGCCCAGGGATCGAGCCCATCCGGCCGCCGAGCGGGCTCACTTTTCATCGAACCTGGCCGCACTGAGCCCGTCCGGCTGCACTCTCGGTGACCGAGCGGGCTCAGTCGCCGAACGGTCTCAGAAGGGAGCCCTGGGGTTGCCATCGGCCACGTGGCTGCGCTCGTGCTTCCACGCGGGGCGGAGGAGGATCGTAGCCGCGGGTCTAGCGACTCCTGGTCACCAGGGTCTGGGCGATATGAAAGGCTCTGGCGATGACTCTGGCATAACTCGCTGGCGCCAACCACAGTGGACGAAACGTCTCCCATACTGTTGCTGTCCGACCTCTCCAGCTCACACTGCACTGGCATACCCGGTCTGGGGCAAATGCCGAAAGTTGGCTAACGCGGACTCGGACCACACGTCGGCACCAGTCGTGGCAGCACGGCACGGATCCAGCTGGGTCGATCGACGCACTGGTGCTGGGGCCCCAGAAGGTGCTCAACCTTGAGCGCCCGCTCGGCGCTGCCGCTGCGTGGATGAGGCGCGATCCTCTGAGGGAGTGGTCCGCCTCCGACGGGACCCAGGGTTCCTTTTTGAGCCCGCCAAGCATCTGAGCCCACTCGGCCGCCGGATGAGGCAGCCTAGCGGGCTCAGCTCCAGCAGGCTCAGCGGGCAACTCGAACCGGCGGCCGGGTGGGTTCGATCCCTGGGCCCGCTGGGCGCTCGGGCAGGCCTTGGAGGCCGGATGGGATCAGAATTTTCCCTGGCGAAGATTCCTGCTGGCTGTTCCGATGCGCGGCCCGGGTGCGACCCGCACCGCCGTCCGTTGTCCCGAACCAACCAGGGGGACAGAACCCTCCATGAGTGGCGGGTCTGGCCACATTCGGGTGCTGCTTAGTGGGGGCAAGGGACGAGTGGGGGGAAGAGAGGTGCACCGTTCGTGCACTGTGGATTGTACGGGAGTGACTGTATGCATACAGAAAGACACGAGGTACACATAGGGGGACCCGTGCTCAAAGAGAGCACGTTCTCTTTCCTTTTACGGAGGCGTGGGCGCGCAATGGTAGCTCAAGGGCCCTTGTGAGCCGATATGGCGGCGAACAAGGGACTACAAAGAGAGGCGCAGGTGGAGGAGGGGCTGACAGTGGCCTGACAACCACAGCTCTTACCTTTCTTGCAGCCGAAATGCCGTCTCGCCCCAGAGCATGAAATTCCTCTCGCGATATATACCGTAGCCATTCCTCGTACTACCAGAGCCTCAGTGACGCACGCGCAGCTGGCACAGCTCCCGGAACACGTAGGAAATGAGAGCATCTCTAAGAGAGATCATTAAAGGGAGTGTCCGGCCCAGGGTCCATGGTGAGGTCTTCCGACTTCGCTGCGTCCGTAGCCTGCCCCATGTGATCCATGAAACTCGGTGGTTCGATCCGACGTTGGTCGTACTGTTGGCCATATCCAGGAAACGATCTGCCGCGCTGAGCTCCTTGGTCCACAGGGGAAACCATGTCTCGCCCTTGGGAACCAGGTTGGCCTCGAGCATCGGGATGCCGAAATCCTCAATCGCCTCGTCTGAGCACTCGTGGACACTCGGAAACGCTGCTGGGATGGCTTTTTTGCCGCGAGGTACGTCCTGACTGTGCGATTCCAGACCCTGTACCATCCAAAGACTTGCTCCTTCGCCTGTAGCTTGTCCCAGATCTCCCTCCTCGTCGCAATGCATCCAGAGCGCATTGACGTAGACGCTGCCTTCGGTCTGGCACCGCTGCCTGTGGACATGCATATTGGGATAGCCTGCGCTACGTTTCCGACCCTCCTTCAGCTCGCAAACGCAAGAGCACAGATTCATGTCAGGGCTCACGTCTGACGACGCATGCACCACGCAGTGGGTGCAAGGGGAACGGCGAAGTGTCCTTTTCGCAGAAAATGCCGTAGACGTATTCGCAACTCGAAGGTCCTGGCTTCAACTCGAAGAGGCCCATCTTGCTCCAGATAGATTCCAGTGCTGCCAAGTTGGCACCGTGATTGGAAGTCTCGATATGCGCCCCCTTCCTGTTGAGCTCCTTGTCGCGCTGCATCTCCTTAGCGCACGCAGGTGCCGTGTCCATCATCCACCGCTGCCCGGTTGGATGCAAAATTGGCCCTTTGACAAGAGGACCATCGATGAACCCTGAGAGATGCCCACGAGCACAACGGGACCCTTTGGGGGCTAGGGTTCCAACATCGAGCTTCCAGAGCCAGCGCGGCCAACGCAGTCGTAGTGAGGGAGGGTGTCGAATAGGTGGCCCCTCGCAACGTCGATGTTACGGCGCGTCTTCCAGCGGTCGCTTATTATTTGGTTGAAGACATACTTGTTCTCCCTGGGCAGATTGTGGGCCTTCCTCCAGTGGGCGCGGGCCCAAGAAGTATCTCGCCCTTCTCTGCTGGAGGTCCTTCCAGTCCAGGGTCAGCGACGCAGTAATCAATCGTCGCCGTAGCCTTCGTGGCATCGGAGACGGTTCCGCCCATTGGTGGAGGGTTCTCGACGAATCCTTTGAGAATCCCCACAGCACCGTTCAACTCGTCTAGCTTCAGCAGCTTGCGCGCCATCTCTTCCCCCCCGACGGTCCCGCCGAGGATCTTGCGCTGGTCCAATATGTCCTCGATGGCCCTCGCCTTCTTTCGTCAGCTTTTCCCAGCTGTCGAGCATAAACTGCTTCTCCTCCTGCGGAGGGTGCCGTCGGTTCCCGCCGATCTTCGGGAGTTCGTTCTAGTTCATGCTGGGGGGGCGATGGCCAGCGCTGCAGG